TGCAGTTCATGAGTTCAAGCCCTGCATTGGGCTCTGTGCTGATGGTGTGGAGCCTGCTTTAGATTCTCTGCCTCCCTCTCTCTCTCTCTACACCTCCCCTGCTTGCTTTCTATGTCTCCCCCTCCCCCAAAAATGTTACTAATTTTTTAAAATTTATTTTTTTATTCTTGAGAGAGAGAGAGAGGGCAGGGGAGGGGCAGAGAGAGAGGAAGACAGAGAATCTAAAGTGGGCTCTGCTCTGACAGCAGAGAGCCCGATGCAGGCCTCGAACTCACCGATGGTGAGATCATGACCTGAGCTGAGCTGAAGTCACATGCTTAACCACCTGAGCCACCCGGGCGCCCCAAATGTTACTAATTTTTTAAAAAACACAAAAAATGCCTTTTGGAATAGTGGAGCACCCGGCAACAGAGTGCTGATGAAATGCTCCAAACTTTCATCCTGAGTAACAGTGCTCTCTCCTGTTCCCTCTTGACAGGAGGTTGTGCCCAGATATATCTTTCTTCCAGAGAGCCACCGAGTACCCCTGCCTCCTTATCCTGGACCCCCAGAATGAGTTTGAGACCCTTCGTAAACGGGTGGAACAGACGACGCTGAAATCGCAGACAGTGGCCCGGAACCGGAGCGGAGTCACAAATGTGAGAGCCAGCCCGGGGGCCCCAGGGACGCCCCGTGACAGCCTTTTCCTTCCTGCTTCCCTCGGAGCACTGGCCACCGGCCATCTGCCCTGACAGCTACCCAAAGCGACCTTGGTCCTGCCAGGTCTACCTCTGGGGCTCTTCTGCAAGTCAGCTATCAAAGTCTGGGGGTGTGGGGGCCGGGGGAGGGTCCTCCCGTGTGCTGAAGGAGCAGCAGGGGAGATGGCTCTTGAAAAAGCGATTACACACTGATGAGAACGTGTGGGAGCAGTGAGGCAGTGAGGAGTTGACCTGGCTTTGGTGTCCCGGAAGACTTCCCCGAGGAGGTGACATTTCAGCTAAGAGGCCAGGAATTAGCAGGAAAGTGTGTTCCAGGTGGGGAGGAGGGCATAGTGGAGGCCTCAGGCAGGAGTGAGTGTGGTGTGTTCAGGGAATAGCAGAGTCCAGCCAGGCAAGAGGGGGGCACCGCCAGAGGATGCTGGCAAGGTCAGCGGCCGTGAGGCCACCTAGGGACTTCTGAGCAATGCAGGGACGTGATTCCGGTCTGCTTTTGTGAAGGATTGCCGTGGGCAGTTGCCGTGGGGGTGTTGGAAGGGCAGGAATGGAGGATGGGAGGCGGCCGCACTGTCCAGGCACAGGCAGATGGGGGCCGGGGTGAAATGTGGGTAGACTTGAGAGATCAGGAACTAGAATTGCTAGGGCTTGTGCTGGCCAAGTCACACGGAGCATTTGAACCCCAGTCTTCTAGCAGATTCCTGTAACTCTGAGAAGCAGCCTGTAGCCAAATGAAGCGTATTACCTTCTTCCTGAATTTACACCTATGTTTGAGTACATGGAACTCCCGCTTTTTCCTCAAAACTTTTCATTGTTCTCCAACAGTAGGAAAATCCTTCTCTGTAACCTCCAACAGACTCGTGACATATAATACTGCAGAAGCTTTCTTCCCTCAGAATGATCACATCTCTGTGTCTCTCGGATAGCAGCCATTTTCTGCTGCAGGGGTGACACGGGCAGTTAACAGCTGATCCCAGGGGCCCATGTGCCCGGGACAGAGTGACATGTGCCAGGGGGTGCAGAATGCTTGGCTGGCCACGTGGGCGACCCTACTTGCCGCTGATGTCCTGGCTACAGGGCAAGGTGCGGACCTGGCTTCACTCATTTCACTGCAGTAATTGGGGTCTGAGAGCGGAGCTCTTCCCCATTTTAGGTCTTGATCTGGTCCTGGTGGCAGAGAACCTGACCAGAAGCTGCATCCCTAGACCTCGGGACCTGCGGTTGGGCCATTTAGTTCAAGTTGAACATCTGTTTGACTTCGGGGGAAGTAACACCAGCCTCACCTTCCTGGGCCTCCACCTTCTCCCCTGTAAACTGGGCAGGATCATTTCCACCATGCTGGCTTTTGAATCACCAGGAGGTTGAAATGAGGTCACGGCTCTGCAGATTTTGGGAAGGCTGCAAGGCATTTCACTGAGGCCTGGGCTGCGGGCTATGGAGTCAGCCAGTCTGGGCTCAAGTCCTACTGTCACCACATAGTGCGAGACTTTGGTGAGTGACCTAACATTTCTGAGCCTCAGTTTCCTCGTCTTCAAAATGATGTTGAGCAGGTATTCTAGATTGTTCAGAGGACTTCATGGAGGAATGCTTGCAGAGCACGGTCTTGCCCATGGAAAGCTGTCAGTGAATGTTAGCGATGTGTGCGTGTGAGCGCACATGTACACACGTGTATATGTTTGCACGTGTGTGTATGATGGGGGAGGGACTTTGTCTTCAGGATCCTGTGCTTCCCAGATGGCTTCATACGCTGGCCCTGCCTGCGTTTGCCTGCAGCTTTCTCACACAGGGAACCCCTGGCACCTGGATCTTTGCGGCGCCCCTGGGGGCTCCTGCCAGCACCGCTGTTGGAGACCTCTGCTCTGTCGCAGGAGGATCCCTCTTCTGTTTATCTCCCAACTTTTTCTTAATGAAAAATGTGAAATGTTCGCAAAAGTTGAAAGAAGAGTACGATTCCCAACTGTATACTTTCCACCTAGATTCAACAGTTGTGAATGTTCTGCCATATTTGTGGGTGTATTATATATAGAGAGAGTAAGTTGCACACGCCCCGACCCTTCATCCGTGAGTACTCTTGTGGGCGTCTCCTGGGAAGGAGAACATCCTCCTTTGTCACCATTCTCACATACGAAGATTAACAATAATTCCACAGTAACACCCAACTTCCAGCCTGTGATCGGATGTCCTCAGTTGTGCCAAGAATATTTTAGTTATTTGACTTTGCATCCAAGACCCATTAAGGTGTATGTGTGAGATTGAGATGTTATATTTCATTAGTCTCTTGATCTCAGGGAGGCCTCCACTTCCGCCCCCCCTCCCCCACAGCATTTGACTTTTTGAAGGATCTTGGCCAGTTGTCTGTTTTTGACACATTTACAGGTTTTTTAAAAAGTAAAGAATAACTTACATGTAGTAAAATGCACAGATCTCAAGTACGCAACTAGATGAACTTTTAGTTACATATACGCCCAGTCAAGACACTGAACATTTCCATCATCCAGAAAGTTCCTTCACGCCTCTTCCCAGTTAGTACCCCTCACCTCAGAGGTAAGCTCTGTTCTGGTTTTTAGCACCATAAATTGGGCTTCGGCCCCGCTGCCTTGTGGAATACCCCACATTCTGGGTTTGTCTGCCTGTTTCTCCCTGTGGCGTTGGATGCGTTCCGCTGTTCTGTGTATTCCCCATAAGCTGGAAGTTGAGTCTTGCCTGAACGGCAAACATTTCTGGCGGGAACGTGTTATCTCTACCGTCGCCGCCTTACCGGCTCCTCCCCTCTCTCCCCAGATGTGCTCCCCACACAAGAACTCCACGCCCTCTTCCCTGAACGAGTATGAGGTGCTGCCCAACGGCTGCGAGGCCCACTGGGAGGTGGTGGAGCGCATCCTGTTCATCTATGCCAAGCTCAATCCTGGCATCGCTTACGTGCAGGGCATGAACGAGATCGTGGGGCCCCTCTACTATACCTTTGCCACCGACCCCAACAGCGAGTGGAAAGGTAAAAGGCCTCTTGGCTGCCCGCATCCCTCATGCGGCTCCCTAGAGAGAGGGGCCCAGGAAAGCCTGGCTAATGGGCCTCATGAGGCACTGCGACTCGCGCCCCACTTCTGGGCCTCTTCTTCCCTCTGTCAGAGGTGAGAGGTTAGCCTGGATCATCTCTGAGGTCCTTTCCAGTTCAGGCCTTCTAGGATGTGGGGAGTGTGTTGAGCTTTCAGCGCGGGTAACGGAAGTTCTGATAAAGGAGATGACCGGTACATTCCGGAAGCTGAATGACTGACAAGGCTTCAAGTAAATGGTTTGAAAAGTGTCCTCAGAAGAGCATGTAATCAGTTACTAAGTGAAATGCACAGTGTTGCCCGAAGGTGTGAGAAGAAAGACGTGGAGTCCTTAGTCTGGGGGCGGAGCGTGGTCAAGGATAGAGGAGGGCCCGGGCCGGACCAGGAGGGTGGGCAGCCCGGAGGAGCTCAGAGGCAAAGGGGGAGACGTCGTGCACGGGAGAGGTGGGGTGCGACGCGGGAGGGCATCAGTTCCCTTGCAGCTGCCCCCCTTCCCCCACCCATCGCCAGAGCACGCCGAGGCGGACACCTTTTTCTGCTTCACCAACCTCATGGCTGAGATCCGGGACAACTTCATCAAGAGCCTGGACGACTCACAGTGTGGCATCACCTACAAGATGGAAAAGGTGTACTCCACCTTGAAGGATAAAGACATGGAACTCTACCTGAAACTGGTGAGGACCACGGGGCCAAGGCAGACGGACGGGAAGGGGCACAGATAGCAGGCCTCAGCACCCCAGGCCCGGGGCAGGTTCTGGCTTGAGTCCGGGAATGGAGAGTGGCTGCTCCTGCTGGGAAGTGCTGGCCTGAAAGCTGGGGCCCGACCGGGAGACCAAGGCGGCAGTTGACGTGGGAGCCTAGCAGGCTGGGCACGAAGAGGAAGTTGATAGGGTGCCTGTCGTGGGCCAGGCATGATGCAGTGTGTTCACTGTAGACTGGATGACTTTAGCTTGGTAGCAGTCCTCTGAGAAACAAAGTGCAAGCTTCATTTTTATTTTTATTTATTTATTTTTAAGACGTTCATTTATTTTTGAGAGGGAAAACACAAGTGGGGGGGAGAGGGCAGAGAGAGAGAGGGAGACAGAGGATCCGAAGCAGGCTCTGTGCTGACAGCAGCGAGCCTGATGTGGGGCTCAAACCCACGGACCGCGAGATCATGACCTGAGTCGA